GTCCGTGTACCTGTACAGGGACACACGTTACTAAGTATACGGCACAATTCTATTTCATTACTTGAGTCATTTACGGCACTTCAATTTTAGCAAAATATTACCTTCTTAGCCGGAGTGGTTTTAAAGTTAAAACTTGTGACGAAATGCTCAATGAGTGTAGGTTTAACATCCACCATAAAGCGATGGTGTTTGACGTATTAAATTGAGTTTATTGGACATGAAATCTTTCGCTATACTAGAAGTCCTGATTATCATTGTATTGGTTCTATTTGAAAGCTGGTGTGTATACGTACTCGAGCAGGTTGAGCCGTAGCTCGTCGGCGGGGGGATGCGAGGCGGCGGCGGTGGCGGCGCGCGCCAGGGCGGAGGCCGGGCCGCCGGCCGGGGCCGCGCTCTGGGCCAGCACCACCCGCGCCACCTCGCCCAGCCCCGCGCCCTGCCCACCTTCGCCAGGCTCCTCCGCCAGACCCGTGATCTCCATCTCATCCTGCGAGATTACAATACAGATTAGTAAATTATGTGGATTTAAGATTATGCTACTACTACTACTTTACTATTGTTAAACATAATTATTTTAGGACTAATTAGTATTTTATTACGTTTTATAGAGAGCAATGGTTACTTCACATTATGTATATCTGTATACATGGTACGTATCCTCAAAAACTGTTTATACGTTATGCGTAGTTACCTCGTAGAAGAGTCCGGCGCGGTGGGCCCGTCGTCGGTTGAGTATGGCGCTAAACCCGCAGGTGCAGTGCGAGGGCTCCTCGTCCGCGGAGGCAGGGGACGTGCCCCCCGCGCCCCCGGGCCCGCCCCCGCCCATACCCGTGCAGCCCGACAGGTACGTCGCTGCGTCCGCGCCGCGGATGTTGCCTACCACCTGGACAAAAGTCATTTTCTTATAAGACTTATACTCATACAAATTGTGACTGTCATAGAAGTTTTTGGTGAAAATCATGCAGTAGAATATAGTGTCTGCGTACCTTGGGTCCAGCATTACAGACGCAGAGCGTGCAGCTGTCGAAATTGTGGTCTCGGAAGACGTTGAGCACGGTGTCGGCCAGCAACACGTTCAGCATCAGTGGGCACGCAGCGTGCGGGGCTGCCGGGGCCGACTCCGGCCCGCGCCGGCCCGCGCGGGACACTGCCACGCACGACGTCGACGTCGTCGTCGTGCCAGTACGCGCTCCGGGGCCAGCGCTAGACGGCGCAGTATCGCAAGGCCGGCGAGGTCGCGCGTCTCGACTCTCCGGAGTAGGCGGCGCGGACCGCTTGACCCCAGTTTGCGGCCGCGCGGTGTCAGGGTCGGCCTCGTCCCTGGGCTTGGGCTGGTCGTGGTCGTGGTCCTGGTAGCGCGGCCGGTACACGGCGTGCGGCGGGAGCGTGACGGGCGGCAGGAGCTGGCTGGGCAGCGTGGTGAGCGGCGCGTACTTGGAGGAGCCCACGTACTTGTAGAGCGTGGGCGGCTTGAAGACGTAGGACCAGTCCTCGATGGCCTGGTCGGGCGGCGGCGAGCCGGCGCGCAGCGGCGTGGCGTCGTCGGGCAGCGAGAAGCCGGGCGAGGCCTGCGCGTGCGCCTCCATGCTGGGCGGCGTGGGGAACATCTTGCTGAGCTCCTCGGCGCGCGGGCAGCCGCGCCCGCAGCGGGACTCCTCGCCGCACTTGGCCTCGGGGGGCGTCGCCACCTGCAGCTGGCGGGACATTCGGTATACTCACTGGACGACCACTCCAATACTAACTATGCCAATATCAACAATTACTATAAACAATCAATTATGAATGTTTAACAACATGCAATTATATTTAAAGTCTCATGATCTTCTTGTAAAATGAGACACATCTTTACAACACATTTAATTTGCACATTTACAGACATTTAAAATAGCATTAACACACAACTACAAACTAGTATAATATAAGAAGGTGTACACTCACAAGTCTTACCGTCTCATCTCCGCTGGCCGCGTCATCCGAGTTGTCGAATATTTGCTCCAGGTCCTTCAGCGTCGGACACAAGCCGTCAGACGTGAATAGATTCTTGTACTCTTTCGTGTCCTCCTGTACGACAAATTATCATATTAATTTTAGTTGTAGTGTTTTAGAATTACTATATCTTTGTACTTCTTTAACCTATTACAGCAGCACTGTAGATACTAGTTAAATTATTTTTTATGACGATTTTTTTACTTCAACTTCACTTCAATCTTCTTATATATAAAATTGTGATCAGATATACATCTAGCATCATCAGCGATTGATGTTGATGATCAATCGAAGGATTAATTTGCCTATTCTGTGAGTTATGAAGAGACAATATTCCTATGACTATAGTTAGAAATTTTTACAATGTTCAATATTTCTTATGAGTTCCATGAATATAATAGTAAGTAAGTGTTTTTACGTTATGATCGAGTTTCTCTTGCTTGAGATCTTGTTGCGAGTCCCTCATGGCGGCCATCTTGGTGTGATCGTGTCCCGCGTAGAGGTCTCCGGCCGCGCCCGCGCCCAGCGCCATCTCCTCGCGGAAACTATTCTGTGACGACTTGAACCGCTTCACTGGGTGCTCCAACCTAAATATTATAACAATATTATTGTACAAATAGTGCTAAAATTAATTGCAGTCATTAACAAGCTGTTATAAGTTCAGTATGGCTACTGAAAATGAAACGAATATTAATTATTGACACACAAATAAATAATCATTGGCATATTGTATGCAGGACGCTTAGACAGCGAATTTGAAACTGATTGAGAGAGACCTATACTGAGCAGTGGATAATAAATGATTGAAGATATTTCTTTTACAAGAATGTTACCAAGTATTGAACACAATAAACGAAGCTCGACATGTATTGATGCGCAAACTGGTGTACAATGTAGCGAGGCAAAAGATTCACGTCACGTCAGCCTCATCGTGACGTGTCCGTGTAACTCGCATATAGCAAAAGGATTTTCAATATTTCAATACTTATAGTACTATGGATAATTTTTTTTCTAAATTTAACTTTTAAACATTGTGACTGAGCAGTATAACTTAAACGCTTAGGGGTATGTTCAAGAGTAGTGAGTGAATGAGGTAGTTGCAGTACGCACCAGGCGTGCACGGTGGTGTAGTCGTAGAGCATGTGCAGCGCGTGCTCGTCCTCCGCGGGGTCGGCGCGCGCCGCGCCCGCCGCCAGCACCGGCCGCCGCCACGCGCCCTCCGGGCCCGCCTGCAGGGGGGGCTACGTTACTACATACATCATACATTCTCCTTCTCTCATTAATATACACAACATAACGTTTATCATCAAACTCAAAGGTAATTCTGGTCTCACCTCACATTCTATTTATCTCTATTCCCGTTCATTCTCTTCATAAAATCAATTATAATAATAGTCACCAAAGAATTGTATACCTCAATACATTTCTAACACGTCTTCCAAAAGACCAAAACCCTGGAATCTCTTGCAAAAGACCAAGTAAAACAAAAATCTAAAATAGCTTACCTGTGTATAAGTTTTGGGCGGGGGTAACGATGGCGGCGCGGGAGTAGGTGGAGCATGCGGGTCGGGCGTCGGCGCAGGCGTATGCAGCGTTGTTGGTACTATGCCCGTTGACTAGTAAATATATAAGTTTATTTAGACATCATTAATGTACACAACAGGAAAGCATCGTCAAAAAACTTGACCTAATGATTAATTTCAAATTATAAGTTTTCTTTTTGCTTAACAAGTAGATTTAACATACCTGATGATTAGGCAAGGGCTGGTGATGTGGCGAGGGTGGTGGTGCTCCAGCGGAGGGCGGGGCGGAGCCGCCCGGGGCAGGGGAGCCTCCGCCACAACTGGCCGGGGAACACGCCGCGCCCGGGCCCCTGACACACACAATATTACTTTAACCACCCGTACACAGGCTTAACATGAGGCTCCCGAGTGAAAGTGAACGATGAACCATGTACCAACACATCACTAATCACAATTAACCCATGATAAACAAACACAGGTGTAACATAACAACAAACAAAACAATGCAACCAATTGTTCTTCTTTACACCCAAAGAAAATTATTCTAGGAAATATGTTTATGGACCCACAAAATGGTAGTAAACGTTTCAATTCTTCACTTTCACTAATCAACCTCTGATATGATGGCACCCATGAACGATAGACCCATGGACTAGGACAGACGACATGGCGAGTGGACCCCCGAATGAAAGGTAGATGTTATCATGTGTACCGTAACTTGTTGCTGCAACCTCACCGCTTGTAACTGTCAAAACTTAGAACCTTCTTCAGTTTACAAAAGCTCCATGATAATAAAATTAGCAGTCTAAATCCAGTGCACTGTGATTTTTAACGTAGTTTTTAAGCCGCAACAAATATGAGATGTAACGTGTAACCCTGTTGCTGTAACTAGAACAAAAGTGCACTGAATTCAATAAAAACAAAAACAGAACAGTTGCAAACTTCAATTAATTACCTCGAGTTTGACTTAATTAAACTGTCAAACACCAAGCGGTCACCGATGACCGCAACCTATTGTTCTATAATTGTGTCTACAAAACCGGTACTCGACGAGTTAACTGAAGTTTGTTGATCTCATTATTTCATTTGATATAATACTGTTCCAATCTTCGCAATAACTGAAGAATTATTGACGTATTACAAGCGATGACAGTGTAGCAAATTCTAGAAAATGTGTGAACATTAATGAGGCGAGGATTCAGTTTAATTTCCTTAAATAATATTAATTGTATAGGTAATTATGTCTTGGAGTTCCAAGATGACAATTGACAACATTATCATTTCGTATTATAGCGGAATAAAAGTATATTATATCGCATGGCCGTTATTACATTATGATACCAATAAATCAATTTATCAGTGTTTTGTGTATAAAGCTTATTATAATGACAGTATTTCTTAAGTTTATCTGATTACATGTACGTTAAATGGTCAGTGAAATATAATATAGTAACGGCTTTTGGGCCAGTTTTACTAGAAAATTCTATGTGATAAGGAATAAACATTGCTATGCAATTTTCGAGTGTATTTTTTTTTTCTTGTGTGATTGACTAAGTAACATTTTGGTTGTAATTTTAGTAAAACTGACCCAATACTAGTTATATTAATGCAACGTTAACAGCATCATTCCAGCCGCACTTACAGCATGTACTCGTATTTCTTAACTAACAATTAATGAATTAATCAGCCGAACATAATAAGGTTGTCAAATACACAACGATGTTTGATTAGACACAAATATGATAAGACACAAAACATGCAATTCGTATGATAAATATCAGCATTCGATACATATGTCGCATGCAGTATAAAATAGAATAAATGATAGTTTAGAGGCAACAGGTCATGCGGTATGAAGCGGCTCGGCGTGGTGTGTACTCACTGCGCGGCGTGGGCGGAGTGGGCGGAGTGGTTGGAGTGGGCGGAGTGGGCGGTGTGGGCGGTGTGGGCTGGTGGCGCGCGCGCCGGTGGAAGGGCGGCGGCCGGGCCGCGCGCCGGCGCCGCCATCTGCACACACAAGGGCCCTGCCACTACCCGACCCCACTCACACATCTCTTACCCGCAATGTCGACCTACTGAACGATCACGAGCCCAACGTGTCTCGCGCGATACTAACTCCTCCACCGACCCGGTAACGCGATTTTCTTAAACGCGATTGGATAAACGGTCCAATAAGTATTTAATTCGAAACGATGGAAACGCGTCATTTTCTAATGTTAAATGAAACTTTAAAATCGCGAATGCCCGACAGAAAAAACAGGACTTGAAAAAGATCGAAGTAGTGATTAATCCGGCCGATCATGATGTTTTAAGAATCTAAGAATGTATGTTTTACAGCGAAACAAAATCTAATTTCTAACATTTTGGTCAACATGCCCATTCAATAGCAATAACGAATTCAACTCTACAATAGTAACGTTCATAAAAACACCGATTTTACTAATCCAAACCATTTCGTATAAGAGATATCGAAGTGTGACAAGAGTCGCCGCGTGTCTGACAAAGGAATTCAAAAATAGACCTTAATGCAGTACAATATGAACTTAAAATATCGATAGAAAAGTCTTCGAGCATTAAGTTTCAAATTCCTTTGTCACAAGTACCAATAGACATAATATCATTATGCATATTGGTTAAGCTTTACCCTCTACTGCTTATGTAACTACAAATAATAATTATATCATTGCTAAGTATATAAAAATAAAACATTCACATACATAACATCTACCTATCGTCTACACCCTGTTAACTTACTAATAATAACTACACATATCGTCATCCACCGGAAAATTGATACTTATTGTTTGCAACATAAGGTTCAATATGCTCAGTGGTAGACTCGCCTGGAACTCTCATTCAAAATGCAAAGATATGGATAAATAGAGTAATAATAGTCTTTCATACATGTCATACGTAGAATATAGATGCATAACACACAATTTCATACAACTACTGCTATATACTGCTCTTATCTACTTATGTCATTGGCTGAGTAAATGCACTGTACAGATGTCACAAATATATGAGATTTATCCTTTTGAAATTTATTTTCTCAGTGCATGTACTTAGTGAATGCAATAACAACAATACATATAAATATATAAATGCGCGATATAGTAGCACTACTATGCAGTATTATGTTTCTGTACTCACTTCGCACAGGTACAAGGAGTTTTTCTGGTGGGATCAATGAAGTCTTCCGTCTTGTCGCCCGCAGCCTCACCGTAGCAGATCTCGGGAGCCTGGAATTACAGTTGTATGTTATTATTGTGGCATTAAATAAATATAAAGTAGGATTTAGTGATGTATGCCCTTATTCAGGAGTTAAGAACAAGGATAAGGTTTATATGTTAGTGTTAGAATAAAAGCGTAATGGCATTCTGGTTTCACGAATGACACCATCATCATAAACTATTTAATATTGGAAGTGTAACTCGAAACTCATCTTAATTCTTGAAAGACAGTTTTGTTTCCCACTTCCGATTTTCATTATCACAAATAATATTGTAAAAGAATTTGTAAAAATTTGTAAAGATTTTTACAAATCCTGTGTATTGATGTGTACATGAAGCCAATTGGATTCCGGTTCAAATGTCTGCCAAGTGGTTCTCATTGGATTATGGAGTGAGAGAACCTTTGCGTATGTTATGAGTGTTGGTGCGATGTATTTGTTAGTTAGTACGTATACATAGTACTACGCGATAAAGTGAGCGTACCTTGTGCGGCGCGGGCGTGGTGAGCGCGGCGAGCGTGCGCGCGGGCGCGGCGGACGGGCGCGCGGCCGGCGCCGCCTCCATGTGCGTCACCAGCACGTACGGCCACGGGTACCGCATGCGGGCGCCGCCGCACACCACCTGCACCGCCACGGACCGCATTAAACACTATTGCAACTTGCAGAATAGGGCCCGACCCTGTGACAATCCGAAACCTCTTGCCTCAGGTCTTCTTAGGGCCGGACCAAGTATTACTGGATCTTTTAATATTTGAAAACAATCAACAGTAACAAAGACTGAATTAGGGCCTGACTCAATATGAAACTTCATTAGAGAACAGGGCCTGTGTTTATCGACAATTACCAGAGGGTTGTAATATCATCATATCCCCACTTTTATCAAGATAAGTAAGGTAACATGCAATAAAGTAAGATAAGATACCTCGACAGCGCCGCAGCCCTGCTCCAGCGGGTATAGCTGTCGCCAGGCGTCGAGCAGTCGCGCCGTGCCCGCGTCCGCGTCACTCCACTCGCGCCCCGTCAACGTGCCCTCCAGACCGAACGGGGCCAGGATCACTGTAACAATAGTATATAAATGTTAATACCATCTTGGATTGCAGATTACAGAATTTTGTATTTTTTTAGGTTATCCTTACATGTTATGAAAAGTCCTTGTCGCAGCTGCCAGCATTATATTATTAGCAAGCTATAAGAACGGATTTTAAGCTTTTGACTACCACAGTTATATTCATCAGAGTGAATTTGTACTGTTGGTTGTTTAAGATGTTGTTTACCTCGTGAAGTTAAAGACCTTAATGTGCAGCTGTGGCGTGGAAAGCTAGTAATATAAATTTTACTCTATCTCTCTATTTACGTCTCTGGAACACATTGTACTCCATTGTCTGCGTTCATTTCTCGAAACTGTAAGGAATCAGTGGAGTAAATGCATGTTTGATACCTTTGGCATCAGCCTGGTTGTCGGGCGAGTTGATCTTGGCGAGTCGCTTGGCGGTGAGCGTCCTGACGGGCGGGTGTTGGCGCACGTCCACGGACGCGCACACCGTGCTCTCGCCGTGCAGGAAGAACGCGAACGAGAACGACAGGTGCCATGGACTGGAATATAAGAGATTATTGATTCATTTAAAGAGTCTAATGATGTATGCTTAAACTTACGACATACTAAATAACACGATAGGTGCGAAAACGCATTTCATACGCTTCCACAGAGCACCAACTGACTTTTAAAGAGATATATGACACAAATCCTAATTAATTTCCCATACAATATTACCCAGTTTCTAAATTAATTAGGTAGCTCATTAAAAGTTTATAACAATATAGAGGGTTGCTACTAATAACAAATGTAGTAAGTTGTGTCGGTGCAAGGCAGTGCGTCGCTCGAGTACCGCAAGGTGCGCCGTGGGTCGTGTCTACAGATAATATAGTCAGTGGGCTGTGTCGCTCGTATCTCGCTGCGACGCGCGACGGCAGCCTCAAATCAAATTGCCATCGATCGCTGTACTCCCATGTAGCGGAATATCGGCACTGATATTCAATTTATGTATCTATTTACTGGTAAGTTTAACATAATATACGAAAACGGGAAAGGCGGATAAATACCGCCGACTTTTGATCATACAACCATGTCATTTGGATCAGTTGTTAGTGCTACACTTTAAAAAACCTTCCAGAAGATTAAGTACAGTTTTTATAAAAAAAAGCATGAAAAATACTGCATCTACTTAGTAATTACAAAGTAAAGAAATGTCGGAAGGGGAACGAAGTCCCACCCTAGTGTCTTAACGGGTACGACACAGAGATCTTCTCGTTTGCTCTAGGAAGTGACGCTCGTGTCACCACGGCGTGTTTGATACCAATCCACTGAGAGAATTGGACCAAATTGAACTTCCGTACTTACAACTATACATCTTATAACTACATAAGGACTAAACGATGTGTCATATCCAATTGCATATTTGCAATTCAATGACTGTGTACGATGTTACATGAAAACTTTGCTTGCGTGATTCAGGACTATGACGTCAATCACGTCAAAGGTTTAGTGATGCCAGGTTAATCGTGGCTGAATATTTAATATTCATATTTTTCCTGTTTGTCCCATAATCTTGTATGGAAAAGTATTAGTAGGTATATTTAAAGTATTGTTATTTAGTTTAGGACATAAATTAGCGAGGTAGTTACTTAATGGTCTGACAATAGTGTAATTAAGAATAACTTGTCACCTAGCTAGATATTTAATGGTAGTTCATAACCAGAAGCAATGTTACCAGATCTATTTGAATTTGGTCTAGTTCACAAAACCCAGTTGACTAAACCAGAAGACAGTTATACTTTTTCAAAGAAAGATTGTTAGGTTAGACTCCATCATCACTATGAATCAGAACATTGCACAGTTCCCACTAAGGCATGCCCAATAACTTTTCCCAATACCGTTACTTTACCAAAAGAAACCAATCATTGTACAATGTACAATTAAAATCTTGCAGATACAATCAACATCGAGTAATTAGCTAACATGTAACGCGCACACGCAAAAGACAAGCGTGTCATATCGTAACTTCGACTTTCACTATCACAAGTGGTTGTGTACTGAGATTAACTCTTATGCTTTTAATAATAGGGTTTGTAATGCATTGTACCTCTTGCCGACTTCTTCTTCGTCGCCGTCGTAAGGTTGGACGAACCATTTCCCAAGCCTCACGAAGTCCCGCGACAGTAGACATCTGAAAATGAAAATGTTTTTAATTAATTTATGTCAGTTACGTACGTCAATGGGAGACGTCAGCCATTACGTTTTCTGTGAGAATTATGTCCGTGCTAAGTGTTAAAAAACTTTTTATTACTTGTCTGAGAACTGTGATTTAATTAAGTGTACTTTTAAAGGGTAGTTAAGATACTAATGGACAGATAATGATAGCCAGGTTTTTGCAGATTTGACTGACAGTACAAAGCGCTTATTACTTGTATCTTCTACTGTGCCCAGGGCCGATAAACGTAACATCTTATTGTAACATAACAATAAACGTAGACATACAGATTGTGATTTGATACTGCTAGTTAAAGAAGCCATGAAATGGCAACATTTGGAGTTTCGTTAACGGCTGGCAATATTGAGAAGGGCCTATAAGCCATATTGTTTCACAGCTCAGTAAGTTAGAACGCGAGATCTTGTAACATTTAACAGTTTACGAGTGTATCACGTTTCTTTTATTGGCATACCGTTCAACGATAAAGTAAGGAGAGGCGCCATTACTCTGCGGTATTGTTATGTGGTTTAATAGCTTGTGAAATAATAGTTTCTTATAAGTTACTAGATTCTTCTCGCCTTGTTTCAGCAGTTCATTAGATTTGATTCTGCAGTTTAAGTGTTAAAGTTGTACTCAACAAACTCACGTTCGAATAAGTAATACAAAAAATGCTTTACAAGTTATTTTCTAACGCATAGCTTGTAAATGATGTTAAGTGAAACGTATAACAATTGTTTTTACCTACTGCATATTGTAAAATGTTTACTAAGCAATTCATTAACGCCAACTTAATAATTATAAACAAATATTATTAACTTCTAATTGTTTAAGACTTTGCGATGCATTTTTTTAAAAGTATATTAATCATAATCAATAATTTTTACTAAGTAATTATATAAATCTATATTATGTTTGTTAATTTTTGTGGGTTCCTTTCGCGTCGTCATGTAGTGTTTTTTGTTACTGGAGATAGTTGAAGAGGTGACGTGACAATAAGTAGTCTTTGCCACATAAGCAACCAGATTAACTCCCAAGTTTCACAATGGAATCCAGTTCAACTCTAGTATGTCCTTAGAAAATGCATTGTGAGTACGTGGATGTTATGTCCAAAGCAAACGTGAATATTACAAGACGGTAGAGGCGGGCGTGTCGTAACTCCGGCCGAGTATCGATTATATTACCATGGCGAATATTATTGTGTCACCTCACCACACTAAAGCGACGTAAATTCATAGTGAACTGACAAGTAAGCTGAATGTTGGACTAGCTATTAAACTGTTAAACACCAAGCGGTCACCGGTGACCGCAACCTATTGTTCTATAATTGTGTCTATAATGACGGTACTTGACGAGTTAAATTGTGTGAAATACCTACATTGACTGTTGTAATGAAGACGCAGGGCATTGCTATACTGCACTTAGAAAAACACTACAATAAATGCAAGTTTAAAAGACGTAAATAATTGCAGTTTCATACATAATTGTTAATAACAATAAATACTTAAATCCATATAGCTAATTAAGGCGAAGTGTTTTCAATAATGGACAAACGAATATAAGCTTTATGCACTTGACTTTATGTATACTTTGGTTGTTATGATTAAATTATGCAACTTGGAGCTTGTCCTAAGAATAATGTTTAAAACTATTTCGCGTTCAGTGCTTGTGAAGAGGGCTATTAATTAAAACAACTTCTTATATGTTTCATAGTATTTAAAGTTTATACAGTCTTAATGAAGATACAACATCATGACACAAAATCACATTGGAGAGATATTCGGAAAGATAAGTACACTTTAATTTGAAAAGCCCCTGCACGCATTGTCAGAAATGGGTGAAACAGTAATTATAAGACAACAGCATAAAGAAAATAATTCTCAATAAATTATTTTTGGAAGTGCGTCGAGTACAGTATAAAAATGTATGGCAAGATATTGTATTAGTCGGTCTCGATAGTTTATTTCGAGCGATGCCCCTGTCTATCGTCTACATCTGAACGTACGCACTCCACTGTGTGCTACAGTTGTAAACATCACTTTCTTATGAGTCACGCTGCAACTTTTTCATTATATTTCTAGTACACAGTTTGCTCCAGAATCCAGAATTAAAGTGTACTTAGAATGGCATACATCTTCATCAATTTTCTGTAAGTGTCGTAAAGGATTTTTTGTAAGTAGCGCTCTGATTTGGAGATTATCGCAACCTATCTTATGTAGTGGAGGCTAGTCCTGGACAGCTTATGACAGTCCACTCCTGGTCCTGACCAGGAGTGGACTGTCATAAGCTGTATATTACAAGCTATGTAAGTAGTACAAGTGATTTTATGTATAAGGCAACAGATTTTATACTCTATTCCTAGGAAATAATACCCAAAAAAGGTAAATTTTGCTCTAAACTTGTGCCTTACCATAGAAGGAAAATAAACAACTTGTATTGGTTATTTCACGACTGTCCTAATTCTGCTACAGGTAAAGTACATACAAATATGTAACTGTAGTCAGTTGTCAGTATTTCAGTAGTAACAACAAGGAAATGTGTACGAATTTGATTGGCATAACGTTTACACGGTACAAATATAAGTAATAAGTATATAAAAACTGTTTACGCCAGCACCAGAACAGTTGTACACAATTTACAAGTTGAATAACATCGCATCGTAAATATTCGACTGATTAAATATTTCATTGTACGTTTACTTATGGATATTGGATAGGGTACATTTTTCTAAATGCCAATAATGATAACTTCGTTTGAGATAGAAACTTATGACGTCATAATATTCTTGCACCCAAAGCAGACTTATTACTTTTAAACTAGCTAGAAAATTACGAAAACTAAGTATATCGTGTGATTAATTTGTGTAAGTGATTTTTTTTTTTGTAATAAAATCTTATTTTTGTCTTTGCAAACATCCCAATTGTTGAAACGATTTCAATTACATATTGGCTGGTCACATTGTCACTTTGTGTATAATAGCGTGATTCATATAGTTAATAATATAAAGTGCTGATGTATGCGTAAGCGTTAACACTCGCGATATTAGCACAGCACTTTTTTTTATAAATCAATTAATTTATAGACTTCATTCGTACTAGATTGCGATATATTTTGTAGGTATCACTCGCAGTTTTGCTTGCGATATTTATATGAGGAAATGTCATCAAAATATTATCTAATAGTGAACTTCTTATATTCTTATTGTGATAAAAAAATCAGTAACATATCAACGTATTTTTTATCAATAGGATAACCATCCTAATCAGTTTGGTAGTCTTTATACAAACAGTAACAACTAATAAATTGCTATAATACTACCTATTATACACATTTAATTTGTATAATAAGCAATTTAAAATCAAAGAAGTTGACCGCTCACTCGTGCGCAGTGGGGGCATCCGATCTACACATAGCAGCAATGTAAACCGTCGTAACGGGAGAGATTTAGGTGCGCGCGCGCAGGTGTCCGCGATGCAAGCACAGGAATGCGTTTGCTACGCTTTGAATATGTATCAAACAGGTGCAAATTTGTTTTTCACTGCACTTTGTACTATCTCATGATCATGAGACAATTTATGGCTACAATAACAAACTCATTAAATACAGTTAGTATTTGAGAAACATGTTATTAAAGCGAAAGAGTTTAGTGCCACTTTGTTCATTTTTCGCAATTATTATTAGAATGAAAGTTAAAGAATAACTTCAAGAGTTTTCAACGGGATTTTTACGATCACGTAGAATTGAGCAATTCAATGTTGAGCATTTAGCATATTTGGGGGTCTTTGAACCAGTTCCCCCGAGATGCCGGCCGCAGCAGTCGCAAAAACGCTGTAAATGTTATTTGTGACTGTTTCAACGGCACGTCAACCTTAATTAAGAATTCAGGATCGGCTCTGAAACTATTGCATTTGGTGGCAATATACTGTTGAGACGTCAAAAGTAACTAACTATCGATTTCTAAGAGCAAAATCCCTTAACCGATAAGGCGTATTTGGGTGAGTTTATCTGTCAAACAGCAGTTGGGCGAGCCCCAATAAACATATTTCTTTGCTAAATACTCTTGTTTTTGTTGCAAACAATTATTAAAAAAAAAGAAAGTACGCACAGGTAGGTCCACACTCAAAACTTTACAAAAAAATAAAATGGCAAACCGTTTAAAGAAACTCATAAACGCTTGAAACAGGAACATTCACACTGTATATTACAAAGATCTCATTTTTCGCACTTTAAAATGATTGTAAAAGTTAATTTGAGGCACGAGTAGGTGCGTGGTAACAATGGCTAGTGTGGCAACTTGGCAAGGGCAGTAAAACAGGCATAAAAACGTTAACTCAAACGCGTCTTGTCTCGACGAGCCTACAGCAAAATCCTGCCGCATTTTATTGCTACACTACTCCAGTACTAAGTAACTGTGAGCCGTAAAGCTGAAATTAATAGTCGGTGATAATATTTTACGTGTGTATTGTGTCTAAATTATTTTATTTGTATGTTCATTCTCTATTCATGTAACTGTTATTTTCTAACGATGCTGTTAATAAATAAAGAAATATAGATTAAAAATATACAAAATCCTTCTTAACAACTATTTAACTGACTTTTCCATGTGTCCACAATTTATTACAATAGTGTATAACGACACTGCCCAACCAGCCGTCTCATTTGTGTACAAGAATCTCAAAGAACCGCGTTGAGGGTCTAATCAAAGTAACGACTAATAAAAGCCTGTTTACACGGCAGCTACCTTAAACTCGTGGAGCAGAACGCGTGTGTGTATTGTCGCCAGTCGGGATCGCATCCCCGGTTCACCGCCACGCATTGTTTCTTTGACGCGCCGCCAGCCGACACCGTGGGGTCAACGACTCGTCTGGATTTCGTTCATACGCCGAGATTCCGTCGCTCAGCTCCCGACAGTCGCGTGATACCGATGCATGCGCCACTTACATCATTAGTACTGATCTATAGCCAGTGTTCAGTTACATCATTGTAGTTGCCAATAATTAAGAACTGAACGAAATCTGTACTACTGAAAAGGTCTGAGTGTTTCCATCTCAAAATTTACTACGAAGGTCGCAAGTTAATTCGATACTGTAAACCTGTCTAATAATTAAGCTCACCCGTCAGTAACATTGAAATCCAACAAAATAACTATATTTTGTCTAAAAGTCGTGCCCGTCAACGTCTCAAGGCCAAGTCTTACCACAAAAATAAAGCAAAGTTTTAAGCTAAAATTGAACAATAATGGAAGCGATCATTCATAGTTTAATTTATTAAATAATAAATATCTAATTAAATAAAACTTCATAGTTTCATGCTCTATGACGAACGGAACTACTCTATTAAGAAGACGTCAAAATAATTATTGAACAGTTACCTTGACAATTTAATTAAGATTTTTAACTAAATAATTTATTAAATTGCAATAAATCGTTAAAATTAAAATATATCGACTGCAACTATAATAGGTAAGTAGATCAAGTTCCAAGTAATGAAATAAACTTAATTGGATAATTACGACAAGCAAGTAGACAGTCACCATTCCGATATCTACTTTCAGTTACCACCAAAGAACTGAAGCTCATAGCCAGAACAGGACAGGCACTTTTTAAACACAATCTTTGTAAATACTCAATAATTAAATAACCGATCTAGATGACCCACAAATATTCTTAAGAGACGGTTTCATCTACAGCTACAATGTAGTCTACAATATAAAGATCTGGAATTTTAGTAATCTGCGCCGGAGCATACGGGCCACGTCTAAAGAATACGCGACAAAAAACGACATTAGAACGCCCGCACGATACGACGACCTTCGTCTCGTAGTGCTACGGCTACGATCGTAGCCCGATGCGCTTGCGCACCTGGTGCAACGCTATCCGCGCAAATTGTTACTCCGTAAACGGCTGCTAATTACTGGTCTCGTTTAATATTGTTTAAATTGTTTAACTATATTATTAATACTTTGTGTGTGTAGTTGTTTAAATAATAGAGATATAACACCTGATATTTGTCTAATGGACGGGTAGAAGTAACTAGGTCAGTACATGTATGGCATATTGCCTTACTGCTATTAGGGTAAGTAATTTTTAAGGGGGGAAAATCAGCTAATGTCTGCTCCCGCCAGGGTGAGGCGGGAGGGAGTGTCAGACTTTTACTGACTAAAAACCACCCCGTTCCTACTCCTGCACTTCGAACATTCGCGGGAGCCGCAGCAGCCGCAGCAGGCGAAGCCCGTATTATAGAATAAATGCTTCCCGAATACTATAAATCACTACGAAATGTAGGAATACATTTGGCTTTGTCCACATACACTATTAATCAAATTTAGTCATGTTTGCACTGCGCTAATTAGCCAGTGTTTCTGGTTAAGTAGCTAGCTAATGAGGCGGACCGGTCATTACACAATAGAATTCTAATAATTATCATTTATAATAGATATTTTATTCGTATTTGTTTAAACGCTGTTAATGTATATAAAATAAACGATATATGTACTTTCATTTAGAAACAAATTATGTATGAGATTTCAAATCTTGAAGATAAAAGTGATACTTCAACGTCACGTCATAATGTTTTGTTGCGTTTGTATTGGGCTGACAGTTCTGCGGTCAGCATAACCGGAAGTCAAGTACTTATGCACTTGGTCGACAAAGACACACTATACTTCTCTTTCAATTCTATATTTATAGCAAAAAACTTTCCGTTAATGGAATATTTACAATAACATAATCACCATAAGATTAAATAAACTAAAGATAAATTGGCTACCTCGAACTTGTGACCCGTGGCATAGTTTTTATCGCAGTAGATAAGACAGTTGTATAAAACACACATCAGATATTTGCCATGTTTTAGATATCTCAGGTAATTAACTTTATCAGACGCCTAATCGAATACTCAACGTCAGATTAAGCATTAATAATAACAACATTAAACAAGTCAATGAATCTTTCGTATGATTTCCTAACTGAGGAATGCGTAGCCAATTACGTAGGGCCGAGTATTGTTCCTTGTGGAATACCTACTATATGCACGACTGCGAATACGAAATGTCTTTGTGAGCGTACAAGAAGCATACATGAAGCGGTCAATAGGAATGATTTCATAATAAATCACGAGCAATTAGCTCGCGAGACGCGTTGGAACTAAGTGTTCGCGCGACACTGGCGGTGTGACATGCACCATTGACTCCTTATTGTATACTCGATCGGCAATGATTAACAAGTTATTTGTTACTACCGACTACCGTACAGGTTTTTCAATCACGTTTTTGTAGCTAATGCTAATCGTGTAACGTTTTAACCAGCCAATTGAACGACCGCAAAATTAATACGGGCGAAGTAGATTGGTGGACGTTACACACCTACAATGTGAAGACCAATCAAGTGTAAGTCGATAATTATCGATACTTGTTGTTTTGATTACGTGATAAGTTATTGTTGTTTTATGATTTTACCTTTCAATAAGGTTATGAAGAGCCTTGAACAGCAGCGAACGGCATTCGTACGAGAGCCCACTCTCCCACGATCCCTGGTCACCTTCTGAAAATAAAAAGAAAAAATTAAAGCATTTGTATTGACACTATTTGGATTTTAGAATTACGAATCAAGATTCACTCTATCAAGCACCACACGAACCACGACCTCGCTACCTCAAATGCTATTGTCCCAGTTACCGATTATTTTTTCAGTGGAGATCTGTTTTTTTAAGTAATACATTCAAGGTTAGATTGACAATGAAAATGTCCATAAGAGAAGAATGTAAAGCTAAGAAGCGATAAAATCGGGTGGTTGCAATGTGGTAAGTAAAGCTAGAAATAGCTGTTGTTGCATTCGCAATCGGAAGATAAACTCGGCCTATCACCGACGTTAGATGCGAAAACAAAACGGCGCGCGCGACGTTGCCGTTCCGTAACAGTAATGCTGTCCTTGTCTAGCTAGGAGGCGGGGCGGGGGCGACCCATGTGACGTCATGCGGCCGCTCAGCGCACGTGCTTGTGTTTGTAGCGCATGCCGCACACGACACACATGCGAGCGTTGCTTAGCGCCCGCTAACTATTTAATTGACATTGAATACAATTTTCAAAACATTACCCAAAATAAAGGATATGAAATATTTACATTCAATAGGAAATTTTGATTGATTTAGCAATTGCATTAATTTTAATCTCCAAAACGTAGTACATGTAGTGGTGAAGACTGTTAAGTTAATGAGTTATTGCTACGGGTTATCGTTCACGAGCCCGGCAATTACTTTGCGCTGCGATAAATTGATAGTAAGTATACGCCTGACTTTGGGAAATTTTACTAACATTTTTCGGCGTTAGTAGTCGTCTTACTGGAGCGATTCCAAGCGTTCAGCCTTGACATTCGTGTTCCAGGTGTATGCGTTCCATTCCGTCTGTCTCATTCTCATTTGAACTAGTTTTTCCAGAATTAGGACGCTAAACGTTTTAATTAATTATATTATTTCTTGGAAGCACCTGCTTATATTAATTTGTACATATTTTTACAATCTCATATTGATTTATACATTTTTATCGCATAACATAACATCACGCCTTTTATCCCCGAAGGGATAGGTTGAGGTGCACATTATGCCACTGTATAATTAAACTCCCACTTTTCACTATTTGTGTTATGAGTGCCATGTAATAGGGGGTGAGCCTATTGCCATAATTATACCGGGCACAATTCCAGACTCCGTGTTACTACTGAGATTTTTTTTTAAACCCAGTAATACTTTGGCCGACCCAGGAATCGAACCCGAGACCTCTTGCCCGGCAGTCGCAATTGCGACTACTCGGCCAACGAGGCAGTCTTATCGCAGCTAAAATATGCAGTGGTAGAAAAGTTAAATTAGGTAATAAGTATAAAAGACTTCCAACATCACAAGTAAACAGAAACCTGTCGATAAATAAGAATCGCCTTTCTATTCATTGGATGCCATAGGAATCGTTCGGATTAGTGGAGCCACTTCTAGGTTAACAGCTGTCATTCATAAACATTTTCCATGCGTTAAAAATGACCATCTTGCTTCAAAACCCATATTATGTAAATAAAATTCAAGAATATCTGAGTATTCTGAGTGTAGAATAGATTCAGCGGTAAGCGAGGTAATTAAGCAAGTACCGCTAGTGTGTGTTGGTGCTACTGGTACAGGCACTGCAATTATTGAGCCGGTCGGTTCGGCACCATCGACTCCATCTCCCAAGGCCGTTAACGCAACAAACGGTACGATTACTGTATACTGTATACCAATACCGATATACTTCAACACCGGAGCGAGTCACGACTTGAATCGCATCATGGTGCCATTGCGATTCGGATCCATTAAGGATTTTAACATCGATCTACAGGACCATAGGCAAAAATCAACAGACATCAAATTCTTTCAGTTTCTCTGGAAATAGTATATAAGATGTAACTGGTTGGCAATTTCGACATTGACCAAATTTCAATAGGTTTTTTATAGTTTTCGAAAGCCGTTTCAGTGTCGATGATCATTGACATCAAAACATTTCAAAACTTCGTTACATAACCTTACGCCGTGGTTTGTTGAACTTTTGGCGCTGTTAATTAATGCGATTATGCGGTTTGTTTAGGTTGTGTTGCGAGTGCAAAGGTGTTGTTTATTTCCAGTGTTTGTGTGAGAGTGCATTTGTTTCGAGTGCAATAACGAAGATTGTTCAAGGTTCAAGGTCGCATATTTTGTCGCGGTGTAACGGCGGTGGTTGGCACTACCTTGCGCCGGGATCGATAGCGGGCAGACGACGCGCGCCGCCGCGCTACCCGCCTCCACACCGATGTGAACGCAGTAATCGCCATACGATTATCACTATTGTTGCCTAAGTACTATTTGTTTGCTGCCGCGTTGCGGTTAATGTCGGCGATAACACGCTGATAACAGACGTGAAGACTAATATTGAATGCGAATTGATAACGAAGCTCGCTGGTTTGTGGAACATTTGTCATAGGAGATGCTTACGAAACGTTTGTCAGAGATGCTATACTGCAGTGGGTAGATATAGGGTAAATTGAGCGAGTCGCAGGCAATAAATATGGTATTTAACGATCGGCTGGTAGTTGGTAGACAGTAGAGCGGGAAGATTTATCTGCGTCGGTGACAGCGCAACAACATTATCGGGCGGCACGTGGGCCGCGGGCCGGAGTGCGGAGTGCGTCGAGTGCGCTCTGCGGCTGCACTCGCAGCGTCTCTCTCGCACCGCAATGTTTGGAACAATCTCCGTGTCGCGTCGCCGTGTTCTACAAAGAGCACACTTTCGCAATATCACCGGCTGCTTTAATTTTGCGCCACTGCGTAAACTCACTCAATTATCTGATCCTTTTAAAGTTGTTAGTTCAATTTTCTTGTTTAAATACCGGTTGTTGAAATTCATATACCGACTAGGTACTTGAAGATCATAAGACTATATTGTTAGAACTTGCATACAATTATTTTCTCAAGCCTGCACCACATGAGTATCGATTTCTTACATCGATAGTAAAACACAAAATTGCAGCATTAATTGTTGACACTATCAGTTTTGAACAGGATAATATAAGGTGGCCTGTATTTCATAATAAAATTATTTTCATATACTATACTATTTTTAGATAAGATATCAAAAATCAAGGATAATGAAAAATCTGTTCGAAAATCAGCGACAGACGACGAAAAATAGTAAACAATCAGTGACAGCTACATGCATAGGCGGGCGGGCGGTGCGACATGGCAACGTCGCGTTCAAATCCGCGCGCTTTGTTTACAACCACCGGCGAGCGAGGTTAACCGCTGCGGTAACATTCGCCTCGATACGCCCGCGAGCATGGGAGCCGCGCCGCCACTCCACGCACCCGCTGCCGGCCTGACATCTACATGTGTGAGAGTTAACATCGCCACCGAACCGGTTGTTACACCATGTAATCGAAGGATATCTAGGTAGCTAAGTTTCACAAAAGAAACAATCGAGAAAGGTTACAAAAGTCTTGTTAAAAGGGCGGGCTGTCGGGTTGAATAGGCGGATACGGGCATTTAACCCGGTTCGGCGCCGCCTGATAATGTAATTCAAGATCGTATCGAGCGCGTGGAAATCTGTCAATTCGCGCGCGCCCTCTGCGGCAGCGGGTCGGGCTCGGTCCCACCCGTGCGGTGCTTATGTTGTTGTCTCGGTCGCGCACACCCACGTGCGCGCGTGACGTCACTAGCGCGTCGCCCCGTCGACGTCACAGACCGCCCGCAACCCGCGACATGGGAGCCCTACCAGCCCTACCCTCGAGTGAACAGATTCGCATTGCTCAACGATCGGAACAAACTAACATTGATGCGGACACTGGTCTGTTGACTTTAAAGTTTGCGATACGTACCGACTCACTGATAGGTAATAATTTCCATCTGAGATAAGATAAAATACTTCTCGGAATGAAAATGACATAGAAACAAAGAGGCAATAAACGTAAAGATAGTTTGCAAATTATTTGCGACGAACAACTAAGCACGCCTTTGATACTTTGGGCAGAAATTTTAACTCTTTCTTATAAACTAGAGATAAAGAAAATCCTAAATATCCTGAAGATAGTTGAGTGGAACCGTCGTTACATACAAGCGGGGCGGAACTCAGCATCTGCGCGGAATCGGCCTCGAGACACGCAGCTGCACGGCCCACCCTCGCGCTTTTGTTTCTACTTGGTACACCGCTTGATGGCTAATGGTTATGTCAGGACGGGAAACGATAGCGACTCACATGCGGACAGAAAAGAGGAATGTGTTTAAAACACAATAATTTAACCATCTTGCGACTCGAATGTAAACAACTTGATTATTTATTTTGTGTAAAAATAATAAGGAAAACTGGCATTATCAGTCAGTATCACCGATGAATAAGACATCATTATTGACAGTCATGTAGCGTGGTATTGTTGAACCCAGGTGAGAAAATAAGAGCAAAAACATGCAGACTTTCGGATTTATAACGAGGTTCACAACTAAAATAAAGAAAAAAGCTATTGGATATTTGGAATTAAAATAATGTAGAACTTGATATCACGACTATATCAGTGGCGATTGTCGCAATCTATAATGGACAAGACAACGCGCAATACTGTTATGGTGTCAGACATGACTTAAGTGAGACGAATCGATAATAACGGTACGGAGCGAAGGCGGTACACTTAGACATTGGCCGTGTTTGTGTTCGAAATTGGAAAATAATTATGCGACCGATAGAGAGAGCCACTGATCGATACGCGGCTAGCGGGCGGTGCGCAAGCGCATCAATAAATAGCCCGATCCAGTGCGCGCCCATCGATACACGTCACGAGCATTTTATTAATAAAACGCCGAACAACGCGCGGACGCACCGAACGTTCAACAACCCCGCGCCGCCGGCTTCTTACGCGCACTCTTTACATAGTTACATCATATACTACCATCTGACCTGCTCCACATTCACAATTATTGTTCAACAGCTTCATATTCTCACTCCTTAACTGTCGCTTTGAGAGCGAATACGGTCTGTCGACGAAGATCACTTACTAGTAGC